AAAAAAAAAAAAAAGATATATCAGAAACTTGTAGGAAATTGTCAGTTCTGAAGCTGTAGCAATATCCCTCTAATCCTGAAAAAAGTAGCTAAAAAGAAATGTGCTTGCATCAGTGTTCATGGCAGGCAGTCACACACAGAAAATTAGAAAAATGATTAATGTGGCTACATTTCACCCAGTATGAATAACTAAAGAAAATGCACTTTAAAAACCCTGCCAAACAGAATACATTTACATGTGTTTTTATAAAGATATCCATAGTACAAGTGGACAGTTATTTCAATAAAAACTGAAATGAGTAGTCAAACAACACTTTGGAGGGGATTTATATATGCTCATGTATGTATAAAGACAAATATTTTTTCAGTAGTAGTACCCAGCCATCAGCAGGAAAGAAATGCCAGTGGATTCTAATAGAAAATGGGATTTCAGTGAAAGCCATAGCTATGGAACACACAAGAAAACCAAAGAGAATGGTATCATAGAGATTTCAATCTTCGTCTTCAAATCAAAGCATTCTGCCCAAAGCCTGAAAACACACTTATCACCTTTGAAAGTCAGAAGGTTCTTTTCAGCCCAATTTGGAGCCCCATAACCCATTTCTGTGTTCTTTCATGAAGCCACTAACATTAACCTTGAACTTAGTGTTAAGCAGTGCTCTGTGGCCTTTGAGCCATAGCTTAGGCTGCTAATAATTTTAAAAACCTAAAATGTTAGAGTAATCCAACTATGCTATGTAGCCTGTGGCCTGTTCATTTGGGTTCAAAATAAATCAAGGCATCAAGCACATTAACTCACAGGATGAGGCTCTCGCATGTCTACCTTGCTCCATCACAGCTTGCTCCTAGCCTCACTCATTCACCTCACTTGACCATCTGTCTACAATCGAAGTACCTTCGTGCATAGTAATTTTTGATATGCATTTTTTTTGCCTAAATATTTGTCTTGTGTGTTGAAAATAGGATGTTTGGCTTGCATATTTATTGGGCAAGAACATATTTTATGAAACCTGTTTTTATCACCAGGAAGCCTGCTAGGCAGTTATGGCTATTTAGACAATGCACTCCTGGAGCACAGGGCCAGGATCCCATTACTCTGTATATCCCATTGTCTGAGTGAGCCTCAGCATCAAGTCAGTGCACAATTTGCACTTTCATATCAGGTCGATTCTTTAGTTCTTCGTCCACTCGTCCAGACATAGAGTCTTCCTCCATTACCCTGTTTCTTATGTAGCTCCACACAGAATTGATTTTCCTTTGGAAAAAATGTCTGGCATTCCAAATGCACACAACTTTTTGAGTAAAAAATCCCACTTAGATTACCATTCTTCCCTCTCTTTCCGTGAATTTCCTGTTCTTCTGTCAAAATCCAGTTAAAGACTTACTGTCTCTGTTGGACCCATTTTCATCTGACTTTAGTCTCCCCAGTTTATCTGATAGTATTTTCACAATGTGAGCTCATTCTGCATGCCCCTCACGTCCTAAGTATTATTCAGAGTTCTCCAGAGAAACAGATCAATACAGGGTGTGGAGGGGGCGGGGGGAGGGGGGAGGGATGATGGTAAAGAAATTTAGTATACAGAATTAGACCATGTGACTTTGTAGGCTGAGAAATTCAGACCCAGGAGAGCTGATGGTGTAAGTTCCAGTCCAAAAAAAAAAAAAAAAACAAGACCATTGTCCTAGCTCAAAGACAGTCAGGCTTGAAGACAGAAAAAATACTGTCTTAGCTTTCTATTGTATTTAGAACTTCAACAGATTGGATGAGGCCCCCTCACACTGGGGCAGGAAATGTGCTTTATTCAGTCTACTGATTCCAATGTTAATCTCATCCAGAAATGCCTTCACCAGAACACCCATGTATAATATTTAAGTGAATATTTGGTCCCAGTCAGATTTACAAATAAAATTAACCACCACACGCTTTCTTCATGATGTATAGTCTTCATCTGTTTTGTTAAGATAGATTAGCAGATATCTAAATAACAAAAATTATTTTTTCTTTGTCAGAACTTCCTCTTAAAAATGTTTGTGCATTTTTTGTGCATTTTGCATCAACTAATGGACAAAACAGCCAGCTAACATTAAATGACAGTATCAAACACACATATATTGTTATTAATTCTAAATTTAAATCGACTAGATCCCCCAATCCAAAGACACAGACAGGCAAAAAAAAGCCAAGACCCATTGGTATGCTACATCCAGATCCATCTCACATGCAAGGATACATAAAGACTCAAAACAAAGGAATGGTGAAAAATTTACCAACCAAATGGAGAGCTAAAATAAATAAATAGAAAGCAGGAGTTGCAATTTTTGCTGATAAAATAGATTTCAAAGCAACAAAGATCAAAAGAAGCAAAGAAGGATATTACATAAAGATAAAAGGATCAATGTAACAGGAAGAGCTAAAGATCCTAAACATATATGCACCCAATACAGAAATACCCAGATATATAAGATTTACAAAGAGACTTGGACCCCCACACAATAATAGCGGGAGACTTCAACATCAATATTAGATAGATCAATGAGACAGAATGTTAACATCGATATCCAGGACTTGAACTCAGATCTGGAACAAGTAGACTTAATTAACATTCATAGAACTCTCCACTTTAATGCACAAAATATACACTCTTATCAGTACTACATCACACGTATTTACAGGTTTAAATGAAATATTGGTTGGCTGCTTGTTAATTATTTTCTTCCCTCATTTTTTTTTTTAATGTCTCTATTATTAAACACAATTACAGGCATACCCAGTTTTAGACTGCATTCTAGCCCGGGCAATAAAGCAACACCCCTGTTCTCTCTCCCTCTTCCTCTTCCTCTTTCTTCCTTTCTTTTATTCTTTTTCTTTTTTTTTTATTCTTTTTCTTTATTTCTTCAAAAAAAAAAAAGTTTGTGGGTACATAGTAGATGTTTGTGGGGTATATGAGATTTTGATACAGGCCTGCAATATGTGATCATCACTTGGGGGTAAATGGGTTATTCATCACCTCAGTCATTTATCCTTTCTTTGTGTTACAACCAATCCAATTATACTCTTCCAGTCATTTCAAAATGTATAATAATTGTTGACTGTAGTCACCTTGTTCTACCAAATGCTGCATCTTATTACTTCCATATAACTATATTTTTGTGCCCATTAACCATCCTCTTGCCCCCTCCCCACCCAACTACCTTTCCAAGCCTCTGGTCATCATCTTTTTACTCTCTCTCTCCACAAGTTCAGTTGTTTTAATTTTTAACTCCCACAGACAAATGAGAACATGTGAGGTTTGTCTTTCTGTACCTGGCTTATTTCACTTAACTTAATGACCTCCAGTTTCATCCATGTTGTTGAAAAAGATAGGCTCTTATTCGTTTTCATGGCTAAATAATACTCCATTGTGTATATGTACCACATTTTCTTTATCCATTTGTCTGTTGATGGACACTTAGGTTGCTTCCAAATCTTGGCTATTGCGAATAGTGCTGCAGTAAACATGGGAGTGCAAATATCTCTTTAATATACTGATTTCCTTTCTCTCGAGTATATCCCAAGTCATTGGACTGGTGGATCACATGATAATTCTGTTTTGAGTTTTTTGAGGAACCTCTGAACTGTTTTCCAAAGTGGCTATATTAGTTTACATTCCCACCAACAGTGAGCAATGATTCCTGCTTCTCCACATCCTCACCAGCATTTGTTATTGCCTGTCTTTTAGAT